CATTCTTTTCATCTCGGATTACATTCTATTTTTTTGATAGAGTATCCAACACTCACATCAGAAAAAAAGAAAATTCTAAACATGAATGTTGTGGATATTTGGAGTGAGATAGTACCACATATTGTTCCGATCTATCCTTTAAAATCTGAATGCTAAAGGGGAAACTGGATCTTACAATCAATTGCAATTTAATTACTGAAGTAAATCACATTTTTTTCTGAAGGTGATATATTTCCTCAAAACTGTTCCTTAACATTGCTGCCAGAATGACATTTTACAAGCTTTCGAAATTTTCACCAGATAACAGAATAATAAACAAAAATACTTTACTGCCTTCTGGATAATCATTAAGTTTATAATCAAGAACTCTCTTCTGGACAATCTGCAAAGGTGTCTTATTATTATGTTGCCATAAGTTCTTAAGTTGTATTGCGAAACGAAACAGTCAATTTCTTATTTTACTTAAGTAGCAAGATAAGATCTCTAAAATCGAAAAGAGGATCCTAACAAAAAAATTTTAAATTAATTTTACAAAAAAGGAAGAAAAATAAATACAAACAAAATTGGAAGAAAAGTAATAAATTTATTTTTAATTTTATTTATTATTTTTCTTTCATATTTATAATGGAAAAATATTTAAATTGACCAGAAATTCTATTTACACAAGCATTTTTCCGAAGTGTCTTTGTTTTTTCCAAAGACTGCTCGTTCGTAATCTAGTTTATTATTTTGTAATCATACGCTCCGTTTAACATATCTGATAGAAAATAATATCCATACAAAAGAATTTTTATTTCAGATTTTTCGTTCGTTTAGTAGACTGCAAATACGCATACCAGAATCGTTTAAAATGGTGCTTTTAACGGTCCGTTGCAGTTGAACGTGCATACTTCAATCTGATCTTAAAGTTAAGCTCGTTTTTATGATTTTAATAATAAAAAGAGCCAAGGAGCTGAAGAATTTTATGATTCTTCTTTCAACGGTCCTCATTTTAAAGCCCTCCTTTATTATCTAGATATTTTTTTTTCTGAATTATCCGTGACTTTGCTCCGGAATTCATGTCGTAGACAGGTAATATGTTACATGAAGATTTATGTCTGCGGAATTATTGAGATAATGATCTAATTTGGCGAAATGGGAATTTTATGACTGCGTCAAATATTTACAGAGATTTATGACGATATGTGCCGAGTAGGGTGAGTAGTTAAAAATTGATTATAAATCTTATTGAATAATACGAAATCAGGTGCGGGGAAAAACTTTTCCATTGTATATCGAACAAATTTTGTTCTTATTTTCATCTTTTTAGTTTTTCTAAAAATGAAAAGGCATAAATTATTAAATAATCAGGAATATAATAAAATGTATTTCACACATCGCTGAGCTTCCCTGAGTAAGTTTAAATAATAAAGGTAATGGACATATTTTATAAAAAAAGAACAATTATGTTCTTTCCATAATGATTAACGCGTTGAATACCACGCTAATTTTACATAGCTTGCCCGTTTGGCCAGACGGTAAATAACCAAGGGCGCCGGCAGAATAATATAAAAGGGGGTGCAACCCTCTAACAAACTACCCNGCACTCGCCGCCCCCCCCCCCCCCAAAAAAAAAAAAAATATTTTTTTTTAAATATTCTGTTATTACATTTTGTTTTTTTATAATATGTACTTTCATCTGTTAATTTTTTTCAAGATACATTTCTTTATTGTTAACAAGTTATTTAAAAAAAAATACAAATTTCTTGTACTTGTAAATTTTGCCATGAGAAACTGGCGCTGGCATTGTTTTGTCACTACATATAGTTTCATCGCTTAATTTTTTTCAAGATACAAGATTTCTTCATTGTTAACAAGATATTTCAAAAAATGTACAAACTTCTTGCACTTGCAATTTTGCCATGAGAAACTGTATTAATGGCTATGGCATAGCTACTGACTTTGAAATACAAATAACTACTAACCGTAGTTTTGTACTTGTATAACGTGTTTGTGCACGCTTATCATTGGTATTTACAGTGTTGATGAAGTTTTACAGTTGTGAGAAGTCAGTTTGTGTTATACACCTTTGTTAAACTAAATAACTGACATAAAATATAACATTATTTATATTTCATTAAATGAAGTTTAAAAATATAGCTTAGATATCTGCCAAGTTTGTGCACACTCAGTGTGCATAAGAAAAGAATCAACGATGACTCAGAATTCATTGAAAAAGTTATAAACAGATGCAGCAAACCAGACGATTACAATTCTTGTTTGATTAAACTATTTTTTAATTGTTATGAATCAATAATTACTTAATTATTTGCTTTTGAATAAAAATATTTTTAATAAAAAATTTTTATAACAAAATTTTTTTTCAGTGTGTCTTTAATTGTTTTAAAAAAAAGCCAGGGGAGTGCAGGTGCACCCCGCTGCCGGCGTCCTTGTAAATAACTACAAGTAAATTTGCAAATATTAGACGGATTTTGCTAGTTTTTTAAAAGGTTTAGCATTTCACAGGTTAGGCTTAGGCTGAGGTTATGAACGAAGTACCTGTCCGAGAAGCGGACACTTCACCTCTTCATCTGTAATAGTGCCCGTAGGCCCCTGGAATAATATCTTTATCAAAAAGGTGATGGTGGCTTGACTGTAGTTGTGGCTTGGTGGGAGAGCCATACCTGCCAACTTTTAATCCTTTCCATTATAATTTTTCCCAGTGGTATTAAAATGGAATTAAAACTTCAATTTTAAGCAAACAAATACGTTGTATTTGAGCAAACTTAAGTTGACAACCACGATAGTAACGCATATTGATATATGTGCTTAATTTTTGTAAGAATAGTGGCGATCAAAATCATTTAAAAATTAAATTTATAAAAGAAGAAATGGTATATATTTACTACCACTTTAAATATGAAAATAAAATCCGGAAGAGTTGGCAGGTATAGAGAGCATTTCACAGGTAAAAAGTGGTGAATTATATAAATCTATGAATTGTTTAGAAATAGTGGTGAAGAAATAGAAATCTACTAAATTGAATTTATTAAATCAAGAATCATAATTGATAAACTACCACTTGAAAATATTTATTCGCTGACCGGAGCAAGTTGGCATCTCTGTGTATTCAAATAAAACTATTTTTATGTGTTCTATATTGCATTAATTTCTTCAAAACATTTTAGTAACGATAATAATATAAAAAAAATTAAACATTTACTCGAATTACGTGTTTCTAATAATCTTGGCTTCGCCGGTCACCGGTGACCCCCATGGCATTCAACGTGTTAAAGAATATAAATGCAAATTTATCGCATATCTAAAAAACACATCTTGACAAAATCTAATGCAACTATTTCTACCCCATTGATCTCAAACACACAGGGTCCCGCAGTGGACTGATCGTTAAGACACGGTTCCCAGCAGATCACCGAAGTCAAGCATCACTGGCTGCGGTCAGTGTGCGGGGGGGGGGTGACCCACTTGGATCAGTCTGCGTAGGGACCGAGGGTGTGCGGTATTGGTCCTCGTTAAACTGTGCTACCGTAAAGTGCTCGACTTCGCGTGCAGGTCGTCGGGCTACCGAAGCGGGGGTGCCATCCCCTCCGCAGAGGATCAAAATTGTGATGGCATGTATTCGGATCATCTTCAGGGATGTTTCCCAGACCATCGCCAATAGCCCATTGTGCAGCTCTAGTGCGACGTAAATGAACAACAATAACAATAACTCAAACACACAGGTGGTATTGTGGGTAGAATCTTCTACTGCAGCTTCTCTTTTTTTTCCCTTCTTTCTTTTTCTTTTTTAAAATCTTATTTGGGTAAAAGGATACATGTAGTTGTAGGCTTTCTTCCAAAGACGAAACAAACCTTTTTGACTACCAACCATCTTCCTCTATAGATTTGGACCTGAGTCTCGGTGGCTCAGATGATGGAGAGCTCGCCTCCTTATGAGGTCAATTAGGTTCGAATATTAGCAATGACTGGACTACCTATAAATCTGAACCAGTACGCCATATACGTCACGGGAATTGTGAGAATTCTTAGAGATTCTTCTGTTTTTTTTAAAAAAAGGACTGTTTTCACATCAAGCGAATGTTTGTTATTCTTCTCAAAAATCAAGTAATAGCTAACAGAAGAAAATATTCATGTTGTTAAATAAAAATCACTTCTTTAATAGGATTTTATTTATTTATTTATTTTTTTGCATTACGGCATATTAAAAAATCAGGATTTAATGAGTAACACAAAGACTGTCACCAAGCCATGTGGAACATAGACAAATTAATTATGCATCGAATTCGCCAGGAGCACAAAACAAAAATGTAATACTGTTACTACAAAATATATAAACAAATAATAAATAAGTTAAAAAAGTTAAAGTACTAAGTTAAGTTTACTTCCAAAGATAAGTACAATAGGTAGACTAGAGAGAATTATATTTTAACAAATTCAATATGCTGTATTTAACTAAATTCATGGTTATTTGTAAACATGTGGAGAAACTTGGCACAATTTTATCTCGCCATTTCTTTTATAAACTATCAACTGGCGTCGTAGGTCACACGTGTGGATATCTGTGATCTACTTCATGGAAGTGCAAATACCCAATTACTCATTTTTGAACAATAAAAATAGTGTTGTAAAATGTAAAGCTATAATTGCTTAATAATAAGTTTTCGCTTATTTTTGCTACCTATTTATTTATAACATTGCACACGTGCGAAACTGGATAATTATTTAAATGCATGTTTAAAATATGTGAATATCTAGTAGTAGACGATATTAATGGTTTTTTTTATTTATTAAACTTTGAATCAAATATTCAAGCATAAAGTTTGCTAACCAATGGAGAAAAGACCCTCCCAAAGGCAAAAAATAATTAGCATCTCTGTAAAAGTCATGGTATTTGCTCACTTAACATCAATACACTTGTTATTAAATATCTTGTGTTTATTTGAATAAAATAGATATTTATGATCAAAGAAAATCAAACGAAACATGTAAATATGTTCTTATTACATTCCTGGGAAAGGAATGCATCGAGAATTCAACCCTTTGATCAAGTCTTCTGGATACGGGGTGCAGATCTTCCAAATATTCTCTAAACCTTCGACTAATGGAGAAGTGACATAATTATTGCATGATATCTCCCATTCGAAACCCATGGCTGTCCTAAAAATGAAATTAATATTCAAATTATTTGAAGAGATCTATGGTGTATAATTTTGAATTTAATAAAAGAAGATATTTTAATTTTCGACTTTTATGATAAATGAAGAGTTAAGTTTAAGGTTAATATACTAATTACATGGGGTTTTTAATATTTTCAGAAGTATTTATGTAGATATTTATATAAATACTACTTTTAGTCAAATAAACAGAATTAAAAGAAATTAGAGGAATAGTAATTTATTTACAATTAAAATTAACCAAATTCCTCCTACATTTGATGATTAAAAACAACCATTATCCAACAAACGATCAATGAGTTCTGCCCAAAATTGTTGGATTAAAAAAATATGTTTAAAATATTGTTACAAAAACTTCAATTAAATATTGTTATAATAATTCAATAAGATATTGTTATAAAAACCTTCAGAAGAAGTAAAAGTTATCGAATCTTATATAGTTGTTACGTTTTTCATAAAAAAGCCTGGATTACCTAGCTTATCCAGTCGCTACGTATTATAAGCTACGTATCCAGGGCTTATAGAGATGTTCAAATCAGGGGTTGAACTAGATCAGTGATTCACTATCATTAATTTAATTTCCGTTTACTCTATTTCTATTGGACGAATTGTATCCCTATCCCAATTGAAATATATTGCTATTAGTTACATCTCTAACTGATTAATCATAGATGGATTTCCATTAGACAAGTAAAGTAAAGGAAGTGTCGTCAGCTTTGATATCTTTATATAACTTCCAAAATTTTTGGATTAAAAAGATATCTTTAAAATAAGGGTTATTATTATTAAAAACTTCAATAAAAATTAAACGTATCCAGGGCTTTATGTTTAGAAAGAGATGTCCAAATTAAGGGCTGAACCTTAATATCCTTAGCACCTTACATCATTGCTCCTCTATCATTCGTTCAATTTCGGTTTGCACTATTCTTATTGGACAAATCGTAATCCTATCCCAATAGAAATGTATTCCTATTAGTCAGATCTCTAATTGACCATAATTAAACGTATCCTGGGCTTTATGTTTAGAAAGAGATGTCCAAATTAGGGATTAAACTACATCATTGTTCCTCTATGATTCGTTCAATTTCCGTTTGCACTATTCTTATTGAACAATTCGTATTTCTATCCCAATATAAATGTATTACTATTAGTTACATATCTAATTGATCATAATTAAACGTATCCAGGGCTTTAAGTTCATTTAGAGATGTCCAAATTAAGGGCTGAACTGCATCATTGTTCCTCTATCATTCGTTCAATTTCCGTTTGCACTATTCTTATTGGACAATTCGTAATCCTATCCCAATGGAAATGTATTCCTATTAGTTACATCTCTAACTGATCATAGTTAAACGTATCCAGGGCCTTATGTTTAGAAAGAGATTTCCAAATTAAGGGCTGAACTACATCATTGTTCCTCTATCATTAGTTCAATTTCCGAAAGAACTATTCTTATTGGACAATTCGTATTTCTATCCCAATAGAAATGTATCCCTATTAGTTACGTCTCTAATTGATCATAATTAAACGTATCCAGAATTTATGTTTATATAGAGATGTCTAAATCAGGGGCTAAACTAGATCATCATATAATTTCAGGCGAATCTCTGACAAGCAATCAATCAGCTTGGTTCTTAACTTCACTTTGAAATTTCCCACTGAGTCTTTGTTACGCTTTAATTTAAGAATTTCCAACCTAGTAGCTTATTTTTCCATACAAGTTTTGGCAACAATCTTTTGCGAATAAATAATTTTAGATGTAAATGTGAGCAACGTCCTTCTTTTATCTCCGTTATTTTATACTGTTTTATATTAATTTAAAATTTTGTTTTTCTCTCTTTTTCTTTGCTTGCTTACATAGTTTTATCGTATTAAATTCGGAATTAAAGTTTCTGAACTGAAGTAATTGACAAATCAGAAACATTTTCTCCTGTTTTGATAAGTGGACTACCTAAACACGACAACTATTCGACTACTTTTACAACTACTTGAAAAACATTCGGCGGACCACTGAGAGGCCTGAAATAAACATCGACTACATATTTCTTCCGCTTACTACCATGATTTACCTTTACACAAGTCGTTTTAAAATTGTTCAAATTCCGTACTACTTCAAGCTGAAATAATTAGGCGGCAATATCAGGAATAATTGGGATTTTAAAAACCTGAGGAACAAAAAATTCTTAGTGTGATTATCTATAATATAAAACTTCATGGACTTCAAAAATGTCAAGACAGTTATAAGAGTTGGGATGTTTTAAACGCTCAGGGCACGCTCTCAAGACCATTCAGACGTGAATGAGGAAAACGAAAGCGATTTCAAACATTTAACATGAAGTTTTTAACGAAAGAAAAATTAAAATTAAAATTAAAAAAAAAAAAACAGAAATACCGCGATAGCCTAAAAGGAAACAGGAAAATTAAATAAAGGTGAAAAAACAAAACTAAGGAAAACCACAGTGAATAAGACAGTTTATGGCTAATCAGGTCGAAATGCATTTCCACATGGAAAAGTGGTAAGGAACTCATCTCGTTGATAAGGAAATCGGCAATGCAATAAGATAACAAGGAATCAAGATGAGCTGATGTGATAGGGATGGAAAAAATTTTGGCCTTATCGAATTTGAATTTATGCCTTAGATTTCTACAATATGCATCGATAGATGACTAAACGCATTCTTGATAGATACAGTCGACGTTTTAAAGCGCGTCTGGTTTACAATGTCGCATGCTAACATTGACTACCATCTTCTATATTTAAGCGAATAAAGTTTTATATAATACAGTATACCTCTTTTCATTTTCTTGCGATTTTTAATTTAGCATTCTTAACGCTCTTTATTCTTCTTGGCACCGTTTTTTTTTAAATATCGCTAGTTAATTGTTTATAACTTCAAAACTTAATATATAAAAGCAATGCAAACTAATTAAAAATGTTAAAAGTCAAATTTTCGAAATTTCATGAAGTTCTTAGAACTTACTGAAAATGGTGATCCTTTTCTAGAGCCAGATGATTCCCCGTTGCTACGTGGCTGATAAGTAATTCGGTATTTACCTAAATAAATTATAAGTAGTTATATTAGAGAACTTTACATGCTTGCTTCTGTGAGCAACTGAAACGATCATCGCCCTGCAAATGTTCCATTCAGTTAAATTGAAAACTAGTTCATAGAAACTACCAGCAGAAATTTAATATTTTTTTTATATAAATTAAAAATTTCAACTGCGAATAGGAATGATTTCAAAAATCAATAAACGCAATTTATTCGTGATAAAAGTATACTTGACTACCTCAATAAAGCAATTAATAATACAAGTAAATACTTTTTTAACGGTGCTACACATCTCATGCTAGATTGCTATTTTGCGGTCTTAAAAAAATTTACTAAGAAAAATGAAATATTTCATTTTTCTTCGTCTTGCTATTTCCTTTTTTAAAAATTCTAGTTTTTAATATTTAAGAAGAATTTTATCGAAAAAAATATGGGAAATTAATAAAATAGTTTTACTAACTAAATTATTATCATTTACAGTTTTACGAACTAGTCACTATAAGAATTATTATTATTTTGATGTTTCAACACGCTTATTTGTGTTTAACAGAAGCATCTTTTTCAATGAAACTAATTAATCAAAAGGAGCGTTGCATAAAGCATTGTAACAATTACTTTAAATTTTAAAAGAAACTCCGAAAAAAGTTTTTTTTTTTAATGAAAGCGGGACAAAGTTTGAACCTTTTATTGTTAATATTACTTTTTGCGTATTTCGCCATATCTCGGGAACTTTTTAAGCAAAAATGGAAACATTTTGCACACAATTATTAAGTTCGATTATTTAAATATAATTACATGCAAAAAACCGTTTTCAGTAAACATTTATTATTTTTCATTATTTTATTCAAAGACAAAATGAAATTGAATTGTAAGGTATACAATTTCTTTAGATCTTTTTAAACAATGCTATTTCACACAGCAAAATACAAAATTTGAACGAAATCATTCGAATAAAAATACCACTTTTTTAAAATTCGATTTCTCAGGAACTAATTGACTGATTTTGCACAAATTTTGTATTTTGACATGCGAAATTACATTATTGAAAATGGTGTGAAAATGACAAACATTAAAATTCATAATTATTTAATTATTATCAAATAAAGTAATAAAAATAAATACTTACCGAAAGTTAACTTATGAATGGAATTATCTTTGGGTTAAAAAAATTTATAATTGCGTACAAAAATGTTTCATTTTTGTTTGAAAAGTTCTCAAGATTTGACCAAGGACGCAGAAAGTAAAATTAACATTAAGAGGTCCAAACTTTGGCTGCTCTCCTGGCCACCTCGTAAACTAGTTTTAAAAAAAAGTCCGAACTAACCAATCCTAACCATTTATTACATTATTTATGTAACGAATTACCGAAATTCTTGAAAGCACCTTGTAGTTTTAAAAATACTGTTTAGTATACGATCGTTACTCGTGTCAGTGACAGTACAAACTTTAATGGTGTGTTCTGAAAATCTGTGTTTACGGTCTGAAACTGTTTAAAATGTTTTAACTTACGGGAACGAAATCCTGCTTACAACGAAAAACTGTTTCCATCCGGAGTCGAGGCTTTTCTTCTGTGTTTCTCCTCATTATTTTCCACAAAGTCAAGTGTGATGGATTTTCAACCCACTTGGTTTCTTGATGTTCTGATCTTTTAGATCTAACCATCGGAGTTCTGAGTTCAGATTGCAGGAATAGCTAATTTGCATAGAAATTAAAAATTTTCATAGATTCTGACACAAAATATAAGATTCTTATTGAAAAGCAATAGTGATTAAACTACTAATGTGATAATCATCGGAGATTTGGGTTATGATTGCAAGAACAGCTATTTAGCATGAAAGTTCCAGATTGTAATTGATTCTTACAAAATATAAGATTCTTATTGAAAAGCAGTGCTGATTAAACTACATATGTGATAATCATCGGAATTCTGGGTTATGATTGCAAGAACTGCTATTTAGTATAGAAGTTATGAATTTTCATAGATTCTTACACAAAATATAAGATTCTTATTGAAAAGCAATAGTGATTAAACTACTAATGTGATAATCATCGGAGTTCTGGGTTAAGATTGCAAGAACAGCTATTTAGCAGAGAAGTTATAAATTTTAATAGATTCTTACACAAAGTATAAGATTCTTATTGAAAAGCAATACTGATTAAACTACATCTGTGATAATCATCGGGATTATGTGTTAAGATTGCAGGAACAGGTATTTTGTATGGAAATTACAAATTTTCATAGATTCTTACACAAAATATAAGATTCTTATTGAAAAGCAATAGTAATTAAACTACTAATGTGATAATCATCGGAGTTCTGGGTTAAGATTGCAAGAACAGCTATTTAGCAGAGAAATTACAAATTTTCATACATTCTTTCACAAAATATAAGATTCTTATTGAAAAGTAGTACTCATTAAACTACGAACTATGTTCAACAATATTCAAACGAGAGTTCTGAGTTCAGATTGCAGGAAAAGTTATTAAGCATAAATATTAATATAATTTTAGTTTCTTACAATAAACGTGAGATAGTTATTGAAAAGCAGTGTTGATTTGACTTCTAATGTGTAAGTAATAGGAAATATGTACAATTTAAGGAAATTCTGAGTTCAGATTCCAAACAGCTATTTTGTACAGCAATAATAAAACATTTTTATTCCTTATATAAAAAAATTAGATTTTTATTTAAAAGCAGTGTTGATTGAATTTTAAATGTAGAATGTACTTAAAAATAAGCATTCTATAGTCACTTTGTCATTAGATGTAATAATAGATTTTCAAAAGAAAAAAAAAGAAAAGGAAAAGATAAAGAAATTATAACCATTTCTTTAAAAAACCAAAGAATTAATTTTTTAATGTTAGGTTTTTTTTGTATATTAAAAAAAATTACTGTTTTTGTCAAGCTGTTTCAGAAAATTTTCAATGCACGTGATTCTTATACCCATAAGGCGAAAAAAAAACTTATTGGATTTTAAATATGAAAAAATGCAAATTTCAAAAAATTTGCTTGAGGAACATTATGATGGGCAAATGTTATAATGCGATCTTCGGTTTTTAAGTAGTTATGTGTCAAAGAAATTTATTTATTTTTTTTTTTTTTAGCTTGATTTCAGTCATTTTAGCGAAAACGTTTATCAGAACTAATGAGAGAATTATGATTACAGGAGAATTATTAACAGAACTATTAAGATTTTCCGACTAGCTTCTAACAAAAAAACTACGCTTTACCGGAGCATCATTATTTTCTGAATTTGAATTAACGAAAAATTTATGATTGCAGGAAAATTATGATAACAGGAAAATTATTTGCAGTAGAAATATTTATGGGCGAATTTTTTACGATAACTATAATTTTGATATGATAATTAAATGCGATCTTCGGTTTTTAAGTAATTATGCTTCAAAAAGATTTATTAATTTTTTAAGTTGATTTAAGTCATTTTAGCGAAAACTTTCATCAGAATTAATGAAATAATTATGATTACAGGAGAATTATTAAGATTTTTCCGAAAAGCTTTCAACAAAAAAAACTACGCTTTTTACCGGAGCATCATTATTTTGTGAATTTGAATTAACGGAAAATTTATGATTGCAGAAGAATTATGATAACAGGAAAATTATTTAAAGGCGAATTTTTTACAATAACTATAATTTTGATATGAAAATTAAATGCGATCTTCGGTTTTTAAGTAATTATGCGTCAAAGTGATTTATTAATTTTTTAAGTTGATTTAAGTCAATTTAGCGAAAACTTTTATCAGAATTAATAAAATAATTATGATTACAGGAGAATTATTAAGATTTTTCCGAAAAGCTTTCAACAAGAAAAAACTACGTTTTTTACAAGAGAATCATTATTTTCTGATTTTGAATTAACGGAATATTTATGATTGCAGGAGATTTATGATAACAGGAAAATTATTTGAAGTAGAAATATTTAGAGGCGAATATTTTACGATAACTATAATTTGGAAGAGAAAATAATGATTTTTTGTTTTAGAAAATGATTTCTTGTAGGGAGATACTATGTCCGAAAAAAAGGGTTGCCAGGTTAAACCACTTTCGTAGAAATTTTTTCCAAATCAATTAAGGTTGATAATGCAGTTATTTTTATAAAGAATATAGAAACTTAAAAATAAAACTAGTTAATTGCTTTACATTAAATGAAAATTATATCCAGTCAACATTAATAAGTATTTGAAAGGAATGAAGATCAAAATCTAAAAATTTAGCATAATCGAAAAAAATTGCTTTCTATTTAGGCGAGTTACCTTTAACAGTTTTGTGAGGGATGAAAACTGGGATGCTTTACGTAAAATATTTTACAAAGTGAGAGAGGATTAAACTTGCAGAATTTATGTCAATTTTGCTAAAACTTTAACACGTTCACGCCGGGGTGACCCACCGGTGGGTCACGCTAGATTGTCTCATCGGGTGGCGCACCGGAGTAAAAACTGGTGACAAATAAATTTCATTTTTTAATTTTTTTCCGGAAATAATAAAACTCCATAACTACCAATTGTTTTTAACGGATGCAATTTTTATACTGAATTGCTTCTTCTCCGTGATAAATTTCCTTACAGTGAATTGTATTGTTGAGAATAGATTAATTCCTACCGAATATTATCCAATATTGAAATAGTTCTTCTACCAGTATTTTCTCTTTTCCGTCCCGCTTTCAGAAAATATTGCATTCTATTTAGGTGAGTTACCTTTAACAGTTTTGTGAGGGATGAAAACTGGGATGCTTTACGTAAAATATTTTACAAAGTGAGAGAGTTACAACTTGCAGAATTTAAGTCAATTTTGCAAATACTTTAAATGGCTCATTACCAGATAGCTAAAACAAAGTGATACTTCAGAATGAGTTGGTGGACAAAATAACTTAACAGTGTAAGAAAGCAATAATCATGTTTACGTTTAAATTATGCTACCAGCGGAAAATATGTTCCCCAATAAGAGAAGTAACTTACTACCTACATGCATTCACTCTGCGTGGCTGCGTTTGAGCCACACGAGCGATTTTTTAAGTACTTTGACATACATTTTAATATTAATATAACCATTTATTGGTGTTTGATTACTTAATAATTTAAATATTTAAATTTTACTGGTGGCTATAATTTTGAAAATTTAATATAAATAAATACGGTATTGATTCAGATTCGCGAACGTATCCAGTTTTTCTCAGGTATTGTCCCAACTATTTAAAATAGTTGAAAATTTAAGTTCGAACATTTAATTTCAAATGATTTTGTTAGTGAGTCAAACCTAAGCCTTTTTTTGTAGTTTCAAATAATCAATTCAATTTATTTAATTTCCATGACTTTAACTTGTCAATCCAATTCAAGCTTCTGTGCAAGTTGCGAAAATTTTTATTTTTATCAGACCATTCGATTTCGTTATTGTTTCTTCTGAATTTCGAATACTCGGTACATTTATAATTAATTCAAATTCTCTACATGGTTATAGGAATTGAACAGATTTTTTTTTGAAGTTTCAAATAACTAATTCATTTTATTTAATTTCCAAAACAAAACTTTTAATATATTTTAGCAATCTGATCTTGTGCAAAGAACAGAATAAAAATGTAGTGACTGAAAAATAAGAGGATCCCTCTCAAGGTAAAAATCAAATAGGGGTATTCAAACAATTTTTCTAGTAATTTATTTGAGAGTGGGGTAAAAATCAAATAAGAGTAGTCAAACAATTTTTCTAGTAATTTAATCGAGAGTGGGGTAAAAATCAAAGAAGGGTATTCAAACAATTTTTCTAGTAATTTATTTGAGTGGGGTAAAAATCAAAGAAGGGTATTTTTCTAGTAATTTAATCGAGAATGGGGTAAAAATCAAAGAAGTGTATTCAAAAAATTTTTCTAGTAATTTACTTGAGAGTGGGGTAGAAATCAAAGAAGGCTATTCAAACAATTTTTCTAGTAATTTATTCGAGAGTGGGGTAAAGATACTGCAGATTATTTTATGGATCACTTAAAATTCCTGCAAGCATACTTAAAGCTAATGGTAGTTTGAGTAAAATCTAAGCCTAATCTTCGATTTTTTATAACTTAACGCAAAAGCTTTCAGCCATTTATAGTAAGCTGAGAAGTTATATTTTATACTTTTATAGCCATCGCTGAACAGCAGACCCAATTTTTGGATTTACGACTACTACTGTTCAACTCCGTAACCTTGTAATTTTGAACCCAATCCAAAAGACAAGGGTACTCCTGAATCAAGTATTGGGAGAAATTGCCTTCTGGGATTACTTCAATGGAACTAATCCGCATTCGCGTTACATGGAGTGGAAGATCACGAAAACCTCCCACGGTTAGCCTGACGGCAAGGGGATTCTCACTCATGATCCGTCTGCCCCTGAGGATATTTTACGTCAGCACTGTGGTCGGTGCAAGCCGGATGTGGAATTTGTATCGATCTGCCATCGCTGGAACTTGATCTCGGTCCATCCAACACCTCCTATAACTGAAAGCCTCCACACGGTTTTTTGTAGGTAGTCCGATCAGACCACTGTGAAGGATATCCACTTTCCGAACGAGTCACTTAATACAAAATCCAGTTAAAATAAGAAAGTGGTAGCAAATATATGACTAAAATTTTTTTTTATTTATGAATATTATTGGTTTGCCTTATTCACTTGTCAACCACTACAGCTTCAATTCTCAAATGTATATGATGAATTTCTCTCAATTACTTTTATAAATTGTTATAATTGTAAGGTTTTGGGTTCATGCGCACTACTGGTTCACTTTTTAAATAGTCTGCGCGGACTACTTATAAAAGACAATGTGGAGGCTTTTTGATGTAGGAGGTGATGGTTCACCTCATTGGAAGGCGAACGCTCTATCCCCTGAGCCATCACGGCTCAAACTGAGATGTTAGCAGGGGATAGTCTCGGAAGCGAAGCGATTTAAATATAATTTGGCGACAACTTTTCAGATTTTTGTGGTAGGCTTCTGGCACTATAAGCAGTGTCAATAAATGTTAAAACCTTTCAATAATATGTATAAATATGTTACATCAGTATTTTAACACTGAAAATTCAAATAAAGACAGTACGTTTTACTTACCCCACCTGTATTTCCTGTTGTGACAATCCGTACGCATTCATTGTACATTATGGGTACGTTGTCTGGAACGGCCGTATTAGCACTGAAAATAAATCAAATATAATTCAACATGGCATATAATGTTTTCTTCTAATCATCGTCGAACAGCCGACCCAATTTTTAGTTTACGGCTACCCATGCTCAACTTCGAAGCCCTGTAATTTTGAACTCCAACGCAGAAGACAAGGGAACTCCAGGATCATGTATTGGGGAAACTTTTGCGTGGTGGTCTTTTAGATGAAACTAAGATGTATTTGTGTTACATAAAGATTGCCAACTGCTCCGGACATGCCAAAATAATTTTTAAAAAAAACGATAAATAACTTCAGAGTATATTTTGCAAATATTTGAACATTTATGCCTGCTTTTTAAAAGGTATAGCATTAGAAAAGTAATCAGAAGTGGTGAATTTTATAGGCCTACGAATTATTTAAAAATAGTGGTGGATAAAAATCCGCTAAATTGAATTTATTAAACCAAGAACCACAATTGATAAACTACCACTTTAAAATATATATTTGCTGTCTGGAGCAAGTTGGCATCTCTGCAGTTAACCTCAGCCTATGGAATGAGAAACTCGAAAGTCTGAACAATAGTGATAATTCAATTTGGANATGCATTAGCAATAATAGTATAAAAAGGGATCTTAAAATTGATGACATCAACGTCTATATAAAAAATTTAAACCAAAATTTCTACGATGAAGCAAAAACCTGTACCACCAGCAATTTTAACTCACTCCTAGATATTGAATTAATTGACGACAACACTAAATTTAGCCCAATAACTGCCTTTTTCCTTAGGGATATGACGCAGCCCTAACACACGAAATACTCTCTCGATTTTTGGTGCTAAGCACCACCTCTTCCCCCCATCTCCATTCCACCTCACTACACCTCATCATCGAATTACTACTACAGATGAATCGGTTAATGCCGCTTCGCGGCAGCGCACCGAGATTTATATGATTTCTACCATTTTACCAGTTAACCTCACGGCAAAGGGACTCTATTCCATGTTCCGTCTACCACTAAAGGTATTTATAGCCAGCAGTGCGGTTGGTCGATGCGAATTCAGTACCATAGTGTAGATAGATGGATTCAGTACAAAAGTGTAGATAGAATGTAGTACATGTCTCTACATTCTCGTACTGAAATAATTCATTAAAGTTTGCCGTACTGAAATAAATCGTTATGTCAAAGAACTTTGGCGACATGTTTGCCAAATCTGTCTTTTTCAAGATCTTTACGGAGGTCTTAGTTTCGTTTGAACCATCTTGAACTCGTTATCTTTCTTAGAAATTTAGTTACAAATGCGACAAGTTTCTTCATATGTTTTTTGAGAGTTTCTTCATATGTTGTTCCATGCTGATGATGCATAAGTGAGAATCGGTCTGATCATTGAAATGCAAATTATTCGTTTCAGATTGATATCTTATTTTGATATCGAAACTATGGCATGACTTGATATGAGGTTTTTCAGAGTACCTGTATTCACTCTTTCATTTGGGATGGCGACTGAGACAAAATGGCGAAATTAACAGTGGAAGTAGGTGAGGAGGTTGGAGTAGCTTTCAGTAAAAGCGATCAGATCATAATTTGATAGTGAATTAAATGATGATAAAATATAAGTTGATAATCATATTGTGCTATCCACGGTGATAGAGCACTCACCTTCCAATGAGGTGCACTGGGTTCGAATGCCAGTGATTGCTAGTCGATACGAATTCCGTACCCGGCTCTTATCAACCACAGTGGGAACGTAAAATATCGTCATTGGTAGACGGATCATGGGTGAGAGTTCCCTTTCTGTCAGGCTAACCCTGTGAGGTTATCGTGGTGTTTTTCTCTATTCAACGTTAATGCTGGTTAGTTTCATCCTCCAAGAAGGCAAATTTCTCCCAATACTTGATCCAGGAGTTCCCTTATCTTTTGGATTGGATTCAAAATTACAAGGCTATGGAGTTGAACATTGGTAGTAGTAAACCTAAAAATGTATCGGCTATTCAACTACGTTGTAAAACAAAATAAAATCATATTGTTCATTAGCAAGAACATTACTAGTAGGGTGCAATTTGGTTTATATCTAGGGTTGCAGTACTGGAAGCTAACTATTATAACAGCAATTATAATAGTTAGTTATTAATATTACATAGAAATAATACGCTATATGAAATATTTTCATTTCTAGCCATGACGCAACAATCATACAGTAAATTATTTAATTTATCATTTCTAAAGATTCTAGTCCCGCAGTGAACTGATCGTTAAGACACGGTTCCCAGCAGATCACCGAAGTCAGGGTGACTACTTGGATCAGTCTGCGTAGGGACCGAGGTCATGCGGTATTCGTCCGCATTAAACTGTTCTACCGTAAAGTGCTCGATTTCGCTTGCAGGTCGTCGGGCTACCGAAGCTGGGGTCCCATCCCCTCTGCAGAGGATCAAAATTGTGATGGCATGTCTTCGGATCATCCTCAGGGATGCTTCCCAGACCGTCGCCAATAGCCCATTGTATAGCTCTAGTGCTGCGTAAATGAACTGCAACAACAACATAGAGATTCTAATTATTTCTTGCTCGAATATTTAAGCGGTCATTACTTCGCTGGATTTAGCTAGTTATTTTTATAAAAAAAAATTGTAATTAACTTACCGACAAATATAAAATGTGCACCTTGCAATATTGCCATTTTTGGCCGTCACAGCCGTAGCTATGCATGGTACAACGAAGTCTCCAGCCCCCTTTATCTCAAATGGTAAGGCCGATAAATATACATGTTGTTTCTGTGAAGACTTTGAAGTTGATAATTTTGTGCACCAACAGATATTGACGGCATCTTTATTGTGCAAGTAACCGTCCCTTGATTCAGTTAAACTGGTCTGAAATATCAATTCATCATATCTTTGGATATAACAATGAAACAAATACATTCTGAGAAAAATTAGTTGAATGAAATAGTATCAATATAGTATTAATAGTATCAATATAGTATTAAATGTATCAATATAGTATTAATATACATGCATTTTGAGTTGCTACACCTTGCACTCTTGCTGCAACCGTAATTAGGAGTTAAATTGAATTGTTAGGTTAACAGAAATTATGAGTTAAATTAAATAATTAGGTTAACCGTAGTTAGGAGTTAAACTGAACAGTTAGGCAAATCGAAATTAGGAGTTAAATTGAGCTGTTAGGTTAGACATAATTAAGAGTTAGAAGTTTAACAGTTAGACTACCCGTAATTAGGAGCTGAATTTAACTATTAGATTAACCGTAATTAGGAACTGAATTTAACTATTAGATTAACCGTAATTAAAAGATAAATTTAACAGTTAGGTTAACTATAATTAGGAAATATATTTAACAGTGAAATAAACTGCAATTAGAAATTAAATTGAACTGTTAGGTTAACCATAATTACGAGTTAATTTTAATATTTATGTTAATCGAAATTAGGAATTATATTGAACAGTTATGTTTACCGTAATTAGAAGTTAAGTCGAACAGTTAGGTTAACTTTAATTAGGAATTAAATTTAACAGTTAGGTTAATCCTAATTAGGAGTAAAATTGAAAAGTTTGGTTAAATGTAATTAGGAGTAATTAGGAATTAAATTGAATAGTTAGGTTAATTGTAATTAAGGGAAATTAGCAATTTGAACAGTCATGTTAACCGTAATTAGGAGTTATGTTGAACAGTTGTCAAGTTAGGATATACACTAACAAGACTTAATTCAGCACCATTTTTAAGTTACGGCAAATTTAAGCGATATTATAATCCAACCGAATTCACATTTTTAAACAGTGCAACTTAATTTATGTATTTCTTTTGAAATGAAATTTGAATTTTACGTCAGAATTATTTATTAATATTTTTAATAGCAATCAATTTATTAAAATGTTTCAAACTTTCAAGTTACAGAAATTAATTTCTTGTTGCTTTGCATTGAAGGAATTAAGTAGGAACAAAACAATATAATAGAAATTCAAATAAAAATAAATAAATAAATAAAATCTTTATCTTTAAAAAAATAAAATTTACTATAATTGATAGCCAATTTTAATAGCATGATTTAAGCATACAAGCTGCATTTTTTTCGTTTGTTTCAGAGAGCGTTTTCAGGAGATTTTCTGGTGAACAGAGAAGAAAAGTAATAACATATAGATAATAAGATGAATTTGTACATGCTATTATCTAGCGGTAATTGCAAAAACTTATAAATGTTCTGTCTGGAAACAATACTAAGAAACTGTTTGACGTGAGAAAAATTTGCCAATTTCGGAAAAAGTGTGATATAACTATATATTGACAATAATCTCTCATTGAATATTTACTCTTATACTCACAGGATCATTTAAAGTTGTTTTATACTTCATAAATTTTTGCACTGGAGTGTTTTCATTGCCATAATTCTGAAGAAATTCCACGTAATCAGCCTACAAAAATGGAAAGTATGGAATCTTAAAAAATAATAATATAATGAAATAATACGCAGAAAAATCTGAATACCTGCTCAGTACACTTAGCAAGACGAATGCCGTATTCTTTACGTTGTTGTTTTATAGTTTGTAGTTGCTTTATAGTTGTTTTATAGTTTATACCAACCCAATTTTGGGTTTACGACTACTAATGTTCTACTCCGTAGCCTTGTAATTTTGAACCCAATCCAGAAGACAAGAGAACTCCTGGATCCAGCATTGAGAGAAATTTGCAGGACTTTTAGATAAAAACTAACCAGCATTTGCGTTACATGGTGAGACAAACCGCGAAAACCTCCCATTGTTATCCCGACGACTTCATGATGCGTCTACCACTGAGGATATTTTACTTCAGCACTGACTGTTGTCGGTGCGAGCTGGGTGTGGAATTCGTATCGACCAGCAATCGCTGAATTCGAACCCGGTTCACCGCGTTGGTAAGCGGACGTTCAATCACCTGAACCTGTCTGATGTCACTGGTCAATACTGACAAGCCTATTTTAAAGCTGAGGGTGCGCTTCTTTTTGTTTTCCTATGGCGCCATCTTTAGCCCCGAATTCGACTTCTGCCACATACGTCACAGTCGGTTATACAGAGAGAGCACATTCGCATACGCGTAATTTTGACCTGAACCAAAGCGTCCAGTACTATCCAGTACCACTAGAGGTATTAATTTGTTATGACTGACAAGCTGAGGAACTTTGTGACCCCAGCAAATTTTGAGTGCACCAGTCACTACGGATTGTCTTCGGCCGGCGGTGATTGAACTCACGATCTCTTGGACATAGGCCCAACGTCCTACCAACCAGGCTATCTCGACCCTATTTTTAAGCAATTTTTAATTTATAGAAATTATTTTTGTAATTATAATTAGTAATGGAGTACATATTTTAAATGTATAAAATAAAATAAAAACGGGAATTAATTCAATATTTCCATTTTAGTTTGTTAGTCTTGTAACATGAGCAGGAACATGGCAATTGTCAATAGTATGGCATAATACCTAAAATGATTTTTTTAAACACTAGCATTTCCCCCTTTTATTAAGCGTTTCTTTCAATTTTTTATTCGAAAACAGAAGAAACGTGTGCAACTTACATGACGAATCTTGCTTATTTTCCCACCCTTATATACTCTCACTTCTTACTTAAAGGTAATTCGGTGGGAGAAAAGCAGGATTTTTCGTAACAGAGAGGGAAAAAGTGTGAAGAGCTAGAAAATTGCTTTACCGAAGTAAAAAATATTGCATCTAATAAGGAAAAAAGCTATTTGTTCAGGTTATTCTTTCAACGGCAAAATTAAATTTAATTACAAACAAAACGTATTATTCGTTCTTTTTGCTTTTACTGATTGTAGTTTTTATTTTTAGAATTAGTTTGTTCATGAATTTCCATTTGGGAAATGTGGGTATTTTATACATAAAATCCGAAGTTTAGATTTTGCAATGAAGTTAAAATCTAAGTAATAAAATTTTTCAACAGTACATGGCAGGAATCCAGGCGCTTTAATCCTTTCGTGCCGACTGTCACAAATACGTGCCAGCATAAAACCATAATCAACCAGGGTAAAAAGATAAAACTGATAATCAAAGTAATTCTTCAGCAGTTTATTTGTGGGCGGAGTTATAATTGTTTGATTTATTTAATTCTCCATTACTTTCTTCAAAATAAAACCATTTAGTTATACTTTGAATTAACATTGATTATATATATGATTAAACTAACAATAATTAAAGTAAAAGCAAAGTAAGTCTGTCAAATTAGCAACGATTGCATTTAAGTTACCGTTATTTATTTAATTACGTCCTGATCCTGATTTTGTACGAATGCTTTTCTGAATCACCCGTCCCTAGGGGTTAACCCTTTCGCGCCGACTGTCACAAATACGTGACAGCGTAAAACCGTATCAATCAGGGTAAAAATATAAAACTGGTAATCAAAGTATTTCTTTAGCAGTTTATTTGTGGGCGGAGTTATAATTGTTTGATTTATTTAAATATCAACCAGGTTAAAAAGATAAAACTGGTAATCAAAGTAATTCTTCAGCAGTTTATTTGTGGGCGGAGTTATAATTGTTTGATTTATTTAATTCACCATTACTTTGTTCAAAATAAAACTATTTCGGTATACTTTGAATTAACATTGATTATATATATGATTAAACTAACAATAATTAAAGTAAAAGCAAAGTAAGTCTGTCAAATTAGCAACGATTGCATTTAAGTTACCGTTTTTTATTTAATTACAACTTGATTCAGATTTTGTACAAATGCTTTTATGAATCATCCGTCCCCAAGGGGTTAAAGATCGGTTTCTGAAAAAGAATTTTAAGTGGGTGGGAACAAATATCGAAGTACCATGGTATTTACTTATGCAACGCATATAATTAATCATGTAATTATATTATGATTATTTTAACTTATTGCACGCAGGCTACTCTGTCTTGGTCTGGTCTGTTTGATCAAGCTGGGCTCCTGAGGCCAATATTGGCCCTTTTCCCATTCATCCTGTAATGAGAACTTAAGCAAAAACAATAGAAATGCAACAATTAAATGGCGCAGGTGGCACTTTGCCATGGTAATAACAAATAATTGATTGTATAGAAAAATACAATACATATTAACAAGTAGGGGAACAATATTTACAAGAAGAATAACTACTTTTAAAATATGAGAAGAATTAGTAAAATTCGAGATGAGAAAAGACAAGATCATAAAAAATTTCATTAACAAAAAAGTGCACCTCTGTTAACGCGTTCACGGCGGGGTGACCCACCGATGGGTCACGCTAGATTGTCTCATCTTGGCAGCGCACCAGAGTAAAAACTGGTAACAATAAATTTCATTTTTTTAGTTTTTTTTCCGGGAATAATAAAACTCCATACCCATCAATTGTTTTCAACGGATGTAATTTTTATATTGAATTGCTTCTTCGCCGTGATAAATTTCCCTACTGTGAATTGTTGTTGTTGAGAATAGATTAACTCCTCCCGAATATTATCTGATATTGAAATAGTTCTTCTACCAGTATTTTCTCTTTTCCTGGCGTGAACGTGTTAAAGTCCCGATCGTCCTGATTATTACCACTCGTACCGGGTTGCTCTCTACACTAAAAATTACTCGTATTTACCTCGCCCTGATCAGACCCACAAGGGGTTGGGTTACTCTTTGCTTGCTTTATTTAAATAAACTGAGCACCTATCCCATTCATCATTAAATTACATAAAGTAAGGTAAAATACATTGATGTGGCAAACATGCTGGTAAAGCTACTCTTCGCTTTCTTTATTTATTTATAAAAAATTGGGCACCTGGGCCGCGCAGAAGCTACTCCTCGCTAAAATGCATTACAACTGTCATAAATTAAAAATTTTAAAAAGAAGTGGAAAGAAAAATTTCAATAAAGTTGGTGCAAACTCGTCACTACAGTTACATATCTGCCAACTCTTCCGGATTTTCCGGAAGATTTTATTTTCATATTTAAAGTGGTAGCAATACTCATGTTATTCCAATTAACTTTTTGAATTATAACGATAATTATAAGTGAGTTTCTCCACCACTAAGTATAAATAATTTCAATAAATATATATAAGCATAATAATTCTTGCACACGAATTTCAATGGGATCAAAATAAAAATAAATTTTTGAGTCAGATTGTTTTTCGTTTATTGTTTTACAACCACTCTGAAAATCCATTCTTGGAAAGAGTGAGAGTTGGCAGGTATGCCGTTATAACTTCAATTTAAAGCAAATATGCGGACAAACAATTGTAGTACTGATTACAAATATATTGAATCATATATAATCTTGGTAATCACTAATGAATAATTTCTTCGAAAAGCAGAGCGGAAACTGAGTAGTTTTGCTACCACTTTTTAAACTTTTGTATCAATCGCAGATATTTCAAAAACGTTCACTGAACCACTTTCAATGCGTGAAAAAATATACAACAGATGTTCATTTTTTTTTTATAAATATATAATTTATTTTCAATCCTTTTTACCTTTTTTTTATCCAATTTTATCTTTATTAATTTTCACTCACTTTTATCAGTGATAAAATTCTTTGTATCCGAATTTAAACTTTTATGACTTTATTTAGCTCGCAAACAGGAATCTCCATAGTAAATATTTTAAATACATTGATAGTAAAATATTGTCAATTTATTTTTTGTAAAACCATTATACTAGACTAATCAGATTTAGCTTAGCGAATGAGACTTCATATTCGTAATCAGTTAACACTCTTACCTTATCAGCTTTGTACAAACTTATGCTACTGCATTGTTGCGAACCTATTGGACTAAACTTATCAGACAGTATTTGGTTTAGCAGAACGCTGAGAATGTTGACAAGCTTTTTTTTTCGAATCCTATTACAAAATACCGTGCTGTTATCTCGAAATAAAATTAATTTGCATTATCAAAGGATAAATTATCTACTAAATTAAGTCAAAATTTAACAATCTGTCCTAGTAAAATCTAATAAAATCCATAAATCTTATCTTTAAATTTTGATTTATCTATAGGTTTCTCTCAAAAAATAAAAAGAAATCCAAAATAAATAAATAAAAATCACCTCTTTGCGAGCACGTTCTTCGAACCACTGCCCAACCAAAACTGTGGGATCACTATATCCTTTTTTCTCATTTTCAAATCTTTTTTTCCTGTTACCGCCTGTTTCTTTCATATGTTCGTTTCTGTAACTCATGCTGAATTCTGTGAAAATAATAAAATTTAAAAAAAACTTACGAATGATAAATTTGTCATTGGAAATTTAATAAGATTTATGACTTTCGGATCTAAAATAATTCTTTTCTTTCGAATCTAAAATAATACAATAATTCAATAAATAATATAAGTAAGAAAAGAATATTAATGTTATTATTATAACAAATATTAAAATTAAGATAATTTTTCAATGTAATTGCAGTCATTTTTATTAGTGTATAACGAACCAGTACAATAAGGCTCAGGATCAGTATAATGCTTTTGGATTATTTTCCGAATTAATTATAGTTAGTATTCGTTTATTTATCGTTAGTTAATGCCTTACTCTTATATTATGCTTTTAGTAATTGTGTTAGTAACTGTGTTATAAAACTTGTCCGATTAACTGTAATTCGTGGTTTAATAAATTCAATTTAGTAGATTTTTATCCACCACTATTTCTAAAAGGCTTAAATAATACACCACTTTATAGTATTTATGTTATGTAATACCTTCTAAAAATCAAGGAAAAATAGTCTAATATTTGCAAAATTTACTTGTTTTTACTTACCGGTTTTCTAATAATTTAGGCGTGTCCGGAGCAGTTGGCATCTCTGTAATCTATGTAAAACGCGTTCGTAATAAACATGTGATTTAAAGGAAAAGTTTAACCTATTCTGTAAATTTAAATAAACGCTTAATACGAAAGTTCCATTCTAGGTTTTCTTTTATGTTTGGCTTTAAGATATATACTTTACAATGGTCTGTGGTACTAATTTTTATATCTCATACAATGGTCCAATCAAATCCAATTTTCTTGCAACGTCATATCGTTGTTTCTCTTTCAAGAATGAATGTTCTCTTATTTATTGAAATAATATCTTAATTATGTCGTCCAGAATTCCAGTAGGACTACGAAACTATAAAATTTTTTCTGAATATTTCTATGATATATATCATAAAAGATAGCACAAATTAAATTTCTGTCAGACGTGTTTAGCTTTAAAAGCTTTTATATTGTTTTGAAAGCATGTTTGCTTAATTTTATAACGAAGTAAAACGGAACTATATGCAGTCGGCGGATGATTACTGAAATAAATTCTATACAGCTTATACTTATCTTAACTTATCTTAACTTGCTTAATACTTATCTTAACTTGCTTATCATAATACTTATCTTAATACTTATCTTAACTTGCAACGTAGTATAGTAAAAACATTTTGCTTCTCTTATTCTTGTGAAAAATAAAAACTAACCATGACTACCACTACTTACTGCTAGTTACGGCATATACTTTCTTGTAACGCATTCCACAAGTATAAACACGTGTTATGACCATGAAAAAGGTTTGGACGTCACGGGTAGTTACTTCGCCAGAGGTGAATACGGAAAAAGAGATATTTTTACAAACAGTTTCTTAAATTTTTTAAATTTGCATTTTCTTATTGAGAAGTGTTTGTATACCAATAAAAGTGGTAGCGTAATCGTTTTATATCTAGCTTGTTTTCGCAAGGAACAAATGTTTCAGGACTAAAATGATTTTACTTCCAGTTTTATATCTTTTCCCATATTGAAACAACACTACTCTTATTTTATGTTAGAGTTCTTAGAGTTGACTTCAAATTTTTATAAGTTTATAGCTATATTTCTTAACTTCATTTGTTATTTTGTTAAGTTTGTCTCTAAAGACTCTAATGCAATGAAATTAACAAAATATTTAACTGTAACAATAAAGGTTTACTTACCCAAGTGATAGTTATTATATAATTTTGGCCAAGTTTATGTTATTAATTATAATTGTGTATTCAAAAAATTAATTGATGTCCAGTCTTATAAAGAAAAGTGCGTAATGATTTTCGAAGTTTTTCTTACAGGCAAAAATGGAAAAGGGGTACCAAAAATTAAATAATTTTTAAACAATAAAAACTATGTAACGCATTAAAGGTGTAAACAATGGCTTCATTCTTTAAAGGTCGATCTTCAACAATGACTAAAAATAAAAGTATCAAGGTTTTTAAGTAAAACAATACAATTTTATAGGTATCATTTCTCTTACTTTGTATACTATCTTATCCTATTTGTGAGTAGCGTCCTTAAAAAAAGGACGGTTTCTTTTTGCCAAAAGGAAAAAAAGTGGTAGCAGATGTGCTTCATTATAAAAATTTATATCGTACAAATAAAGATATTTCTGCTTATCATAATATATTAATATTATAAATACTTATATTTTATCTGAAGTCAGCGCACAGTGTTTCTACTAAAGCTAAAGTGGTAGGTAATAGAGAAATATATCCACTTTGAAAAACTAATATATACTACCACCTTTTTCATATGGGCATTATTCATACATGGACCGATTTCTGTGCCAACGTATCAATGAGTTAATTCAAAGATAAGAACAATAACAATGACATTCTACATCCTCCATTGTAAAAAAATTTTAAATTTATAATTTAGTTCCGCTGATTGTATAAAAAACATTGATAGCAGTAAATTGCTTATTGCTAAGAATAGATTTACTCCTCCCAAAAATTATCTGTTATTGAAACAGTTCCACTATCTTTATTTTCTCTTTTTCATCTCGCTTTCAGACATGCAAAATGTGATAATTTTCAGTTGAGTAGCAACGTGTTAAATTGTCTAATATCTTTTATATCTTTCAACAAATGTCCTTTAGTCCCTTCAAAAGGATATGTATTTTTATTTTGCAAACTTTTAACTCAGACACATCATTTTACGCAAATTTACTTGTTTTAAATAATTACATGTTAAATAATTACAGAACTATAATAAAATAATTACATAACTGCCAACATAAGTGTAATAAAATAATTACATAACTATGCTGTTTGAAAAAGATTTAAAATAGTGTAAGAAACACAACATATAAATTTGTTTCATTTTGCAAAATTTTGTTTAGCTTCCGCTCGCTTTGAATATCATCACCTCACACAAATCAATTCACTTATTTATATGTTTGAATTATATATATGTCGCGATTGACAAAGTAATTTTAAATGACATTTATTAAATCAAACATTAAACATTAAACTCTACCTATTGGTACCACTATCGAAAGTCAACCGCAGGAAACGTTTACGTTGGCAACTATGGAATTTTAGTACGTGATTTAGTTTTACGTTTAAGTTGGTATTGAGGAGTAAAATAAATACTTCTTATCGAGAGAAAAAAGCAATTCGGGATACATGTATTTTTGTTTATTTGTTTGGGTGTGAAAAAAAATCCGAAGTTTACGTAAACACATTCCAGACAATGAAAAAAGCGATTGAATTGAGTAAGTTTGGTAACAAAGAATTCTCGCTCCATCATTAATTTTCCTGTCTAGAGGATGATGGAATTGAATCGCATTTCAACTAGAAAAGGAAGTGGCATTTTCGGCCTTAAGAAAATGTAACCCAAACATTTGTCCACGGATCAAAACAATTTTTATGAACGTGAAGGAAAGAAAATTCTACTAAGTTTATATTTCTATGTCTGTGTACTGAAAATACTCAACATGTATTGAAAAATAAATGTGTTTTTACATGATAAAATCTTCAAGTTGCTGTAACATTTTGATTTTAAACTCAGGATGCTTATTATTAGTTACAGTGTATATTTTGTCCGCTCCAAAAGGATAGAAGTCAATGCAGCAACTGTGTATATACAGGATGCTTATACACCGTTTAGTACATTGTGTCCGATCTGGAAGACGTACATCGTTGCAGCTTAGTACATACAGGACCGTCACAGTTAGTAACCTTGTTCAGACAAATATTGCGTCCGTTATGGAGATCGGATGTCGACGCAACTTGATCTTCTGCAACATATGGCCAATCGAGAAAAGAGATCTGCAATGAAAAATAGTTTAGTGACCGTTTTCTTTTTTTCCAAAAATTGTTTGACTGTTGTTTTACTCTTTATATGGCCATTATTTTCTAGAAAAGTCTTGTCATATTTAAATATTTTACATTGATTTAAGAAAATAAATTCATTTAGATAATTACATGAAATTAATTTACTTATTAAAACCAGTTTTTGGGTGGAAAGAGAGGGGAAAATGTTTTCAAAATTTTACCTACTGCCAAGAATTATTCCTAATATTGAACTTTTGGGCATAATATTGAACTTAAGTTAGTTATGCCAACTGAATTTATTAATTCTGGGTTTATAAATGGAATTAAACTTGGTGCGAAATGATCAAATGAAAGAACGCAAGACGCACAGAAGAAAACAGGTCTTCAGTGTGAGCTTTCCTTCTTAGCCCAACGCAAACATTTACTGTTATGGTGTGGGACAAAGAAATTGAGACTTCCAAAAAATACATAATTTAAACAAATAAAAAAAGAAATTTCTCAAGGCGTTTTATCTCTATACAACATAAAACAAAAATAATCAGTTGAAAATTTTTTTTTCGTTTAGCACTAGTAACTTTTTGAATCGATCTTTCACACATTCTATGAAATACTCCAAAAGAGTCGAAAATTGTTTCCATGTCCCACAAAATTCGTCCCATGTTTGTTCCAAGTCTTACTTCCTTTCTTTAATTGTATTCTTTCCTGGTTGTTTTTTTTTTCATTGTTTCGCACAAATGATCTATGATACTGGGATCAGTAGATGGAGCAAGTTACTTTGAAATATTTATTCCGTTATTACCCAGCAATTTTGGGGTTAGCTTGGAACTGTGAGGACTAGGATCGTTTGTTGTAACAAAATACCGTCTGGGTATTTTGCTACCATGGTAAGAAAATGAGTATAACTTTCGCTCTATTGATAAGCGTGTCCTAATCATGATATTTCTACGCTTATCATTTGCTAGGAAAATTAGAGGTCTTCCAAATACGGAACTTTTTGAGCTTTTTGACCAATTTTTAAATATTTTTATTTTCATAAAATTTTAACTCTTTTTCTTACTTGCAATAGTTTCTGGACATCATTAAAACCCAAAATTATTAAAAATTCGGGTTTCCTTTCCCGACAGTACATAATTCGTCACTCAA